CACACACACACACACACACACACACACACACACCTTCCTGGTGTCTCGGGGCAGCAGCAGCTCCAGTGTCGCTACGTTCGTCTCTCTGAACGTCTTGTTTCCTTTCCCTCGGTTCACCGCCTGCTGTCTGATGACCTCCAGAGCTCCTCCCACCTCCTCTACCTGTAGACACAGCAGAGGGGAGAAGCGCTCCGCCAGCTCCTGACACAACACACACACACACACACTTAATTAGTCTGTTTATTTATTCCTTTCTTTTTTACATGTACGTAGTAAAAATGTATTCCTCTCCTCTCCTCCTCTCCCCCTCTCCCCTCCTCCCCCTCTCCTCTCCCTCTCCTCTCCTCCTCTCTCCTCCTCTCTCCTCTCCTCTCCTCCTCTCCTCCTCCTCTAACTCTCTCCTCTCTCCCCTCTATCCTCTCCTCTCTCTCCCCTCCTCTCCTCCTCCTACCTTCATGTGCTGATGACCCAGCTCACTGCTGTCCTCACTGAACGGAGGATTCCACAGCTGGATCTTCTCCTGCTTCAACATCTGCTTCAGCTTCGCCTCCAAGTTCTGATCAGACATCTCCTCTGATCTGGAGGAGGAGGAGGAGAAGAGAGAGAGGAAGAGGAGGAGTGAGGAAGAGGAGAGAGGAGAGGAAGTATATATATATATATATATATATATATATATCTTGTTTACCAGTCTATCTTTAAACAGAGAGATAATGTATAGAATATATATATATATAACTGTTAAGCTATGTAATATAACAATATATAACAATATATAACAGCTAATGTCCAGAATGCTCACCGATATTAAACGAACTGTAATCTGAGAAATTACCCAGAATACTTAGCGCCAGTGACGCAGTTAAAACTGAAACAAACGTTGAGTTAACGTGACGTCAGCTCACGTGACTCGTTGTCATTCTACAGCTGCGTAGCTTCAAACTGCTCGTTTGACTGTTTTTATCCTTTCATTGTGCCGCCAGACGCTGTTGAATATATCCGAGAGTTACCTTGATGTTAGAGGACACGATGACAAAGAGCTCCGCGGTCCGAAAAGTCCGTTAAATCTCCGTTAACCGTCCGTTAACCGTCCACTTCCTCAGTGCGACGGTGTTGTTTTTGTCATCTTTCGTAACGAGGTTAAAGGAGGAGGAGGTCTCACTCTGAGCACGTTTAGGGTCTGGTTGACGTTACGTAAGCTAACGTAACGTCAAGCGATAGAACAGCCGAGAGACCCGTCTTCTCAGATATAGACGATCTTTGATGCACTACGGCGTCTTACAAGGGTCAAATGTAGAAAAGCTTTATTTCTATGAAAGATATGAAAAGTTAGGAAGAGACCCAAAGTAAAAGAAAGTAAAGATTAAGTTAAATAAAATAAAATTAAATCAAACAAAAATGTAATTTAATCAAACAATAAAACAAGATTAAATTAAATTCTGGTGTAATGAGGTCAAAGACAACAACATCAGACTCATTATTATTTTATTGTTGTACATTCGATCATTTTAATGCACAACTTTCAACGACTCGTTTCTCTTCCTGCATCATGATGCAGCAGCTTTATTAATTAAATATCTGAATGAATTCATATATCTATAGTACATATACATACATATGAAATATAAAGATGTTGATAGTGACGAATGTATTCTTAAAGAGACAGTACACCATTAGACGGACTGGACGGGGACCCTCAGAAGGACGAGTACATCCCCAGCCTCCTGGCGGACTCTGAGATCCTCGGGGTCTTCCTGTTGGGGAACGGGTGGTAGCTCTGGTTCTGGGTCTGGTTCTGGTGGACCCCGGTGGAGGAGCCCACACCCCCCAAACTCAGCTGCCTGGTGAACCTGAGGGCCGGCGCTGATAACTTCCTGGAGCCGAGTGAACCAGAGACAGAAACCTGGACTGGATCCGTCTTCTCTGGATCTCCTCTGGACCCGTCAGAGGACCCAGGACCCGGGTCTCCTCCAGAGGAGCCAGGACCCGGGTTTCCTCCAGAGGAGCCAGGATCGGGGTCTCCTCTGGACCCGTCAACGTTGACTTCTTCTGTGGTGCTGCAAAAGGAGCTGCAGGAGGAGAGTTTTCTGGACTCGGAGGAAGACGAGGAGCGTCTGTAAAGACCAGAAGAACTTCATCACAATCTGATCCACTAGAACATTGAATTGATCTTCTGGTTATTTAGCACAGCGCCATCTGCTGGAAGGTTCAGAGAGTAACGAACAAAGTGAAGGAAAAGAGTTAAAGAAATACAATAAAACACAATTAAGTTAAGTTAAGTTAAATTAAATTAAATTTTCCCTGACCGGGAGGAACTGTCGGTGACACCGGGACAGCAGCGCCGGTGGAGTTCCAGGTGGACGCGCCACGGGTCGGGGTCAAAGGTCACATCTGGCGGCGACGTGAAACCCTGAGAGACGGAGACGACGACCTCCGACAGCTCCTCCGACACTGAAGACAGAGTAACCGAGTATTTTATACTCTGGTATTATTGTGGTTTTACAATGTGAAGTCACATCTTCTTGTCTCTGGGGCTTTTATTTTGAAATCTCAACGCGTGACTTGTTCCTGAACGTTCTCTGCACAGATCCACAGTTTCTTCTTCTCTCTCTGATATTACAACGTCTACTTTCTCACTGACACACCTGAGACGCTCCTCCACAGGTAAGCAAGCTCACCTGTCCTCAGCAGCAGCACGTGTGTGTGTCTCCTCTGCGTCTCTCTGGTGCACCTGTACTGTTCTCTGAGCAGAGAGATGTCCATGTTCCTCCTGCTCTGCTGCTCCTGCTCCTCCTGCTCCTCCTCACGCCTCACCAGCTGCTCCTTCTTCCTGATACCTGCGGGAGACACACAGAGAGGTGACCTTTGACCTGCACACACCTGCACACACATACACACACCTGCACACACCTGCACACACATACACACACATACACACACCTGCACACACCTACACACACCTGCACACACCTACACACACCTGCACACACCTGCACACACCTGCACACACATACACCTACACACACCTGCACACACCTGCACACACCTACACACACCTGCACACACCTACACACACCTGCACACACCTACACACACCTACACACACCTGCACACACCTACACACACCTACACACACCTGCCCACACCTGCACACACCTACACATACATACACACTTATAACACATCTAATCTTTATTGTTAATATTTAGTTTTATTTGCAGTCTTCAGTATTGTATTATATAATATATGTATGTGTACATGTACATTGTGTGTATATATATATATATATATATATATATATATATATGTGTATATAACAATTGCTGTATATATTATATATACACAGGTGTGTGTAGATGTGTGTGTGTGTGTGTGTGTGTGTGTACCCTCCAGCAGCTCTCCACAGCAGCAGCAGGACATCCTGTTGGCTGCAGCAGAAACACACCTGCTTCAGGTGAATTCAGCGTCCTGCTGCTCGGAGACTCGTGGTGCGTTCAAAGCCCGTCTGGAAGCTCCGATAAGTCACTACCTGCTCCTCAAAGCCGTGAAAATGGATCCAAGTAAAACCTGAAAAACAAAAGTAAAACGATGAGCTGTGACCGGTCGAAGGAGAAATCAGGAGAATGAAGGAGGCGACAGGTTCCTGCTGTGTTACCTGGTCAGGTAGGAGGTTGGACTGATAACACACACACACACACACACACACACACACTGGGCTCTGACTTTGATTGGTGTGTAAACAGTGGAAATGTGTTGACCTCTCTGAGTGTGTGTGAATAACAAACGCTGCATTCATTAACAATCAAGAGTGAAGAGAGTTAAACAGCTTCAGAACAACGACTCAGCAGATTACAGGAGGTCTGAACCACCAGCTGTCACCTGACACCAGTACACACCATTACACACCATTACACAACAGTACACACATGTACATACCAGTACACCATTACACACCATTACACACCAGTACACACATGTACATACCAGTACACACCA